GCCAGGCTGGAGGGCGCCGCCATGACGCGTCGAATGGCCTAGGTGCCGGCGCAGGAGCTCCACTGCTCCAGTTCCCGCTGCTCGCCGGAGGGCGATGTTGTGACGCGCGTGACGGCCATCGAAGGGGTGCTGGCCGGCTGAGCTCCTGGGCGGTGCTGGTGTAGCCATGGCCGAGGTGGTGCATGGCCGAAGCTTAGTGGCGGCCATGGCTTGGTTCTTCGGGGAAGGGAGCAGGGGCTCGGGAGGGTGTGGCCGGTGGAGCAGAAGAGGCCGGGGGGAGGTTGTGGCCGGCGAGGGGCGACGTTGCGGCACACGCTGAGGCGGTGGTGGTATGAGCTTGTGGCCGGAGTCCATGCTGTTCCTCGACGCCAGCGAGGCTCCGGTCAACCTCGACGACTCCGACCGCACAAACCACCTCACCTCCATCCCTAGGCCACAACACGGTTCACGGGCGAGAACCAACACGAGCTCCAAGAATCGTCGCCGTTCTGCGCGCAAGCTGTTCGATGAAATGGTACAAAGATAAACATAGTGGCAAACTCTGATTGGTGGGTCCCATGTCCAACTTAACCGTCAACGCAGTTTGTGTTGACCGTTTTGTGCAACGTCAGCGCTTACAAGTGGATCCGACATGTCAGAAATTGGATTAAAATGATTCAAATCGGTCATCAATGTTTATTGAGAAAATTAACAAGAAAATCAATAGATCTTTGGGGCGCGTAAGAAATGTGGTGGCAATCCGAACGAGAACTTCAAATGTGGTGGTTTTTGCAATTCACTCGAGAAATGGAGGATTGGGGTATATTTTGATAATTTTCTGACATTTAGGTGATGCATTAGGTTTAAAAAAATTAAACCGCTTAAATATAAAAATGGGAGAGAAGTGAGGGAGGCCATTGGGGAAAATCCTATATGACGCTCATTGCGCCAATTTATTGATGATTTGCACATGGCGATCATCGTGGGTCAGGCCCATTAGCAAGCGAGGCAGGACAACTTATTTACGTTCGTTCGCTACCATTGTTTTAGAGCAACTTTTCATGGTCCTTTAAGTGGTCTTTGTTCATGTAGCCCTAAAAAGGTTGTTCTTCATCCCTTCGGGGACATCCGATAAAAAGTTGTTCTTCGGGTTTTCTTATTTCTAGTTCTTTCATCACTTTTTTCCTTTTGTCATTTTTCATCTTCATGTTTTCATTTACTATTTTTTTTTAAATACAGAATTTTAAAAATTGTTCAGAAATTTTTAGTAATATAAAAAAATATATAAAATGTTCACATATTTGTGTTTTTATGAAAGCAAAACGAAAACCACTTGAAAAGGGAAAAACCGAGAAAAATCGCAAACACACACAGACACACACAAATACTTAAGCTACTTTTTTTTGAGAGAGAGAGAGAGAGAGAACAGTTGAGCTAGCTAAGATAGGCTCAGCCCACACTAGCCAAAGGCTGACGGCAGTTTAACTTTTTTTTCGTGAATACGCAAAGCTTGCGTATCATTTCATTGATAGAAGAAATTAGAAAGAGTACATAAAGGGTACAACGCAATACACGAACGCAAAAGGGCGTGGATATGGTGTACGGAGCAGAGAGAAAGGGGATTCTTGGCCCGAACAGAGTGTACAACATGGCTAAACCCAACATGCCCCGAAGTAGAGGGGGCAGCCCGAAACCACCACCACAGTCAACATCACAAGAGCCAACCACAGGGACACCGCGAGCAATCAAGATAGCGCCTTCAAGACGGAGCACGACACCATGACGCCATCGCCATCCGATCCGAAGAACCGGACCAAGGGTTTCCCCTGAGCTCGAAGAGGGGCATAGATGAAGGCCATGGAAGCGCCTCCAAGAAGGAAAACGACAACCGTGGGTGTAGCCGCTGCCAGCATCGGCAAGCCGAGCAAGGCTTTCGCCCTGGCTTGAATCCAAGCAATCCCATAGCCGCCGAGTCGGAAGTCTGAAGATGAGCAAGTCGGGCGCCGCCCAGAACCACCGCCTCAGGAAGGGGGTGTGGGGTTGCACTTGTCACCGAAGGACGTTACTGAGCGCCGCCGAACACGAGCAATGAATCAGGCACAAGGCAAGGTGTGGAGTGGAGGTGGGCATGGTCGGGGAGGCAGCAGGGCAGAGAGAACCAACACAGGGGAGCGACACCAGTGGGCAAGGCCAGCTAGCAAGGAACTGGAAGGCGCAGATCCGAGCCGCTGGGGCCACTGCCGTCAGGACATCGGCGAGCCGAGGTAGCAGGAAGGAACGCAACTATCGGGTCGATGGGCTGAAACCGCACCGGTAGAGGACGCCGATAGAACCGTGGACATTAGAAGACGCAGGTCCAGGAACACCGGGCCGGAGCAGCTGCAGCGAAAGGCCCTGTGTGGTCACACGCGCCCACCACGCCACTAGGCCGGCACACGGTTGCCGCCGGGATCGACCACATGACCTCAACACCACCAAACCAGAGCCAACACCATAGCTCAGTGGCAGACGCCGCCGGGGACGAATCGACCCACCTACACGAGGCAGACACGCAGAGCCCCCGCCAGCAAGGCGCCGGCCCGCCCGAAAAGACTGTGCCTGCACCTCAGCCAGCAGCAGCAACGCAGCAGAGGAGCTGGGCTGCGCCGCCAGGGGATAGCAGGAGAGCAGCAGCAGGGTCGTAGCCGGGCACGCCGGCCCGCCCGAAACGGCTCGCCTGCACACCGGCCGACAGCAGCACTTGCAGCAGAGGAGCTGGGCCGCGCCGTCAGAGAATTGCAGGGGAGCAGCAACAGGGCCGAAGCCGGACGTCGGGGGAAGATCACCACGATGCAGCGACGCCGGAAGACAAGGGGAAAAGCAGCAGCCGGAGGGGACGCCCGAGACGCGCGGCCAGATCTCGGGGAGGGGAGGGGGCGCAGCACTAGTGCCGCGTGAGGACGGATCCGCCCCGCCGCCACCATCCCCGGGCTCAGCACAGCTTAGCCGGCGAGCTCTCCGGCGGCGGAGATGCGAGGGGAGGGTCGCGAGGGGGCCGCTAGTGGCGGCGGCTAGGGTTTCCCCGTGTCGCCACGGGAGGGGCGACACGGGGGACGCAGGCGACTGCTTTTCTGCATCCTGATGGTAGTTTAACACACGCAACACGGCCGAACGGCGCATACCATTGCTCCTGCCTTACTCCCTCCGTCTTATAATATAAGAACGTTTTTGACAGTAGTGTAGTGTTAAAAACATTCTTATAGTTTGGGACAAAGGGAGTATTTTTCTTTAACTTCATTGGCGCTGCCAAGAATATAGCAAATCCATTGTGTTGAACTATTTATGCAAAATCCCTTCAAAATTGAAGAGAAATTTTCAATTCCTTTTCTCGCGGTTTTAAAGTCAAAATCCAGACGAGATAGACACTATCTTAAGGGAGGGGCAATTTGGCTCCCGAGCTCATCTACACTCGCCATGAGCAGTAAAATAAAAAAATACTAGACAATTCAAAAAAAAATCTTTTTTTTGTGCATGGAAGATGTTTTAGTGCGTGAGGTTCGTGAAAATTTTCAGTTTGTTTGGACATCTGAGTAGCTCTATGCAAAAAGATAAATTTGGGATAAAAAAATGAATATTTGCTATCTCAACCCTTTTTAATTTTTCCAGTGGATATGTACCTTTCCAGTACTATTCATAATGTGCAGATGAGGTCGGGCTCGGAAATGAATATTCGCTATCTCTACCCCTTTTCCAGGCTCCCATGCTGCATAAAAAACAGACAAACAAGAAGTTCCACACTCGTACGCATGAGTAAATGCGGCCCATCTATCCCCATCGTGCATTCTGTTCGTCCTCCCTATCTGCAACGGGAAAGGGCCTACAAAACGTCGCCTTCGGGCAGGGCAGCGAGTCCCAATACCGCACGACAGGACAACCGGAGAAGCAAGGAGCCAAAGGAGAGAATCATGCGTTCCCCTGCCGGCCTCCGCCTCGGCGCCGCCGCGGCCCTCCCCCTCCTCCTCCTGCTCGCGCTCCGGCTGCCGGCCCCCGCCGTCGCCGGCCGCCCCCTCGTCGCCCGCGACCGCAAGCCCGCCCCGTCCGAGGCCGCGGCCACCGCTAGGTGGCTCGCCGCGCAGAACACCTGGGGCGTCCTCAGGTTCCCCCCGCCAAATACCACTCCCTCCTCTCTCTGATCCCTGTTTGGTAACCGAGTTCTTTAGCAACACGCGGTTTGATCGAATTGGTTCTTGCCGCTAGTTCAGAATTGCAGTTGGGCAAGGTATCTACTGAACCGCAATTGAAGTACTCCACTAGTTAGTAGTAATTGCTCGAGGCCTTTGGGAAATTGTTGCGCTACTTTGGAGAATTGTAGCCCTTCCTACTTTGTAGACGTCTGAGATAATGATTTTAGCGGTCAGGTGTCAGACACCACACCCGAGTACCCAACTACCTCAACTAGTTCGGAATTTGAGAGATAGAATTTGGCTAAATAAAAAATGACTAGGAGTTCACCGAGACCAATGCTAAGTTGAAACATACTACAAGCTAGGTTTCGATGTTTGTTATGCTGAGTTCAGTATGTATAACTGTCCATCTATTGGTTTTTAGTATTTTACAAACAACTAGCTTGAACCACATGCTCTGCTGGGAAGTAATGAAAATAGCTCCAATCATGTGCAACTCAATCTCCAATTCTCCATGCAATAAATTGATGGTCACAACTCACAGTGAATCGACTTCGAAATAAGCAAAAACCCAGACAAAATAAGTAGCTAGCAAACAGCACAACTGTAAGTATAGAATCATATTACATGTTTAGAACCACCAAAAGCTGGAGAACATGGCAAGATGATTCCACTTGCCCATAGGTTAGTTTCGGTGGTTAGGGGGCTGCAACCGGCACATCATCGCCATCCCCAGTATCTGTAGAAGGAAGGAGATCTTAGAACTGGAATTTAGCAGACTTGTTAGTTTGATTCTTGCTATGATCATGATACTTCAGTATCGCATTATTAGTGCCTACTTGACTGGGGAGCCCACTAATGCTTTGCCATTTTCTTTGCAGCACAATATCAAGTGATCTAAGTGGCGCTCCTTTTGGGTAATCCCTAATTCTCGCACTTTGGCTAATCACCAATGCTTTGTCTTAGAGTCTTGACTGATTGCTGATCCAGTTCCATGCTTATTCTGCACACAGCAATGTAGTTTCATATAGTGATGGGGTACCAGGTGAGAGCCATGGAATTCCCTACTTTTATCTGACTACTCTGGATCCCACTGCAAGAGATGCGTTGGAGGATGAAAGGACGTCCTTTACCCTTAGTGAGTTCCCTCTTGGCACTTGTGGGAAGGTTGATCCTGAAAACCCAACATGTGCAAAACTTACTCTTACCGGAAAGGTAATAACAACATACATCCATCATAAGATGATTGTTCACTTTCTGTTTATTTCCCTGCTACATGTTTGCTTAACTTTGGCTGAATTTCAATCCTCTATTCCTGGTTTCTATATTCAAATTTAGTACTAGGCTTGTTGTAACCATGGAATCATCATTATCCTTGTGCTTTCTCGCGTTTACAATCCTGGGTCCTAAGTTGTACAGTACTATCCATAGACACTTCTTTGTTGCCATAGCCAGTTAGTGATTCTAATGCTTATATATTTTTCTCATAATTTGGTAGAAAGAAGGAGTATAGTGGGGAACTTGACCATATTTGGAAGTAGCAACCTTGAAGCATCGTAGTGACAACTTGGTGCTGTTAACCTTCATAGTTGTAATAACAAACTAAAAAGTCTACTGGGTCTATCTGCTCTAATGCGCAAACATTTTTGCTTGAGCCTGGCAAGCTATGCCTCTTAAAGTATCTGTCATTATGAGAAACAGAGACAAGTTCATCATGATGTGAGATCAAGCACTGAAGCAGCGGAGGAGATGTACACCTTTCTATAATCCCTCCTAAAATGCACATGTATAGAATGGGACTGTATGTTGTGGAGACCAAATACCACTATGATGTGCAATTCTTAAAAAGAACTGTAATCACGACCTGAAGTAACATGTACTGTTCTTGCAGTTGAAGGTGGTTGACCATAAGTCACCTGAAGCGGATTTGGCCAAAACCGCGCTTTTCAGCAAGCACCCTGAAATGGAGGGTAAAGATATATTTACCGTTTCCTTGTATATATGGCCAATATAAGTTAGTAAGGTGTTTTTCTTATCTAAACATATATGTATTGTTGTTTGGCAGGTTGGCCAAAGAACCATCACTTCGAGATCTTTAAACTGGAAATCGAAAACATATTCTTGATCGACTGGTTTGGGGGTCCTAAACCTATATCCCCTTCACAGTATCTTGATTATGGAAGGTGAGTTACACCGAAAACCTTTCAAATCTGAGTTTCACCACATATATACACACAATATGTTGTAGTGCCAATCTATATGCAGATCCCCATTTTGAACAGTTCCTTAACATACATTTGATTTATGCAGGGACCAGGGCTCGGTGATGTCCTTGTGAGTGCGGAATGCTGCTGAAATCCATATCCTTAGCATGTTTGGGTATGCTTTCTGAAAGACGTCAAAACTGTACATACTGTAATGACCTACGGGATTAATTAAACACATAATATTGCCTTTGTCGACATTTATGTCCTCACCGCGGAGCCCAAGAACCGTTGTCCATGATCGCCTCTTGCCACAGCCGGCTTATGGTTTGGGCATAGTGGCACAGGATGCTGTACTGTGACCGTTCGAAAGCGGCGTTGCGGTAGGAATTCTTAAGGTGCCAAATGGGGCAGGGTTACGGTGCAATGGTGGTATTTTGTTTTGGCAGTGTAAAGCAACATCTATTGCGCAATATACTCCGTAGTAAATAGTATTGTTACATGTTGCACCAAGAGATGGTGTATGAAATTGAGTTTCAGTGAGGTAATAAAGTCCCATTCTTGCTGATGAAAGCATGTATTGTGACGTTAGTTCGTACTCTATTAGATTCTTTTACTAGAATAATAGCGCATCGTTCTATGGAAGAGGTGATTTACACAAAGTCTTCGTTCCGATCCTTCTGGCACGCGCCAACGTGTTGAATTATTCGAGCTGAGTTGTACTACTACTGAATAGATTACCTATAGTTGACATTGGACCGGTTTCTGTTGTTCTTTCTTGCAACTAGGCACTGTTTATTGCGTGAACAAAACCAGATTTTTCTCTGATGTACGGCCTGCAACTTGTATTCAAAATATGTCTTTGTTACCAATTCAAAAGGTCACGAATCGGACTCGAACTCAGCTGGATCTCTGAGCGGAAAATGTGAATTACGTTGCACAGTTTGAAAGTAAAGTGATTATAACACAGGTGTGTTTGGTCAGCAAGGCATCAGGCGGCAACATGAGCCAAACGCTCAAGCAATCTTTGTCCCGGGAAAAGCAGCCGAAATCAGCTAATGAAGAGTGAATTAGAGAGTGATTAAATGTAGTAAGTACTAATACAAGCTAAGATAGGCACCAATGACAGAGAAACACAACCGTAAAGAACATCGGAGACTGATGGGAAAAAATGCCAATGTGACATTTGTGTCACAAACCCACACCACGGTATGACAAATTGACAGTTCCATACTAGTTTCTTCTTTAATCACAATTACAAATCACAGATCATCAACGCCTACATAGATCCAATCAAATTACACCAAAAGAATTCACACCGATGGCGAATGCAGTTGTTCCAAACACTTGAATAAACAAGAACAGAGAAGTACTGTAAAAAAAAAGAGCGGAGAGCGTGGGGAGAGCGGAGACTTTTGACTTTGTCAGAACTGGGTCGTGTTTGACCCGGACGGCCCGGCGTAGTTGCTCCGGTGGTGCTGCGGCCGCCGGAGCGACACCATCCCCTCCGACACCACGCTCGCGTCGTCCCACTCCCTCCCCAGTATCCCGGAGGCCGTCAGCGCCACCTCGTCGTCCTCCCCGCGCATCGCCCGGAGCGTGCGCCGCGCCATGTCGCGCCCGACCCCGCCGTCGCTCTCGGCCACCGGCATCAGCGCCGCCTCGACGCCCGCCGCGCGCGCGAGCCCGCGGAACCTCAGGCTGCCCCGGCTCATCCCGTACAATGCCGATATGCAGTACTCCTCCTCCGCGCTGCCCGGCGCGGCCGAGCCGCTGCGCATGAGCCCCACGATCGCGGCCACCGCGCCGCCGTCCATCAGGGCGGCCCTCCCTTCCGGGCAGCCGGCGAGGTTGGCCAGGATCATCACTGCGAGCTTCCGCAGCGCCGCGGCGTCGGCGTCGGAGTCGTTCCCGCGGTCCCGTGCCTCCGCCGTGGCGAGCAGCGTCCGCACGACCCCCGGCGTGCGCGCGATCTTGGACCGGTTCATCCCGGCGAGGGAGACGTGGTACAGCGCCATGCCGGCCTCGCGGCGCGCGCGGTGGCCGGCCCCGCCGCTCGAGAACAGCTCCAGCAACGGCGGGATAGCGCCGAGCACGCCGATGGCCGCGCGGTTCTCGTCCTCCACGGCGAGGCTGTAGATCGCGCCGGCGGCGTGGTCGCGCGCCTCCGGGTGGCCGACCCGGAGCACGTCGACGAGCGGCGACACCGCTCCGGACCGCACGATCCGTACCTTGTTCTCCGCCTCGAGCGACAGGTTCACCATGGCCGCGGCCGCGTTGACCTGGATGCCGGCGTCAGCGGACAGCAGCATCGGCCGGAGCGCGGCGAGCAGCCGCGGCGTGCAGAGCTGCGTCCGCATCTCTTTGCTCTCCCGCGTCGCCTGCCGCAGAGAGGCCATCGTCGCCTTCTGCTCCGCGGGGCTGGCGCCGTCCGCGCCGAGCACGGCCATGATCTCCTCCTCCAGCGAGCCGCCCGTCTGCCTCGGCTCCGGCACGAAGTCGTCAACGGCGCTGTAGTCGACGCTGTACCGGTTTCTTGTCCGGACGGAGGAGGGCTGTGGCTGTGGGGGCGGCCCGTAGTTCACCTGCGACCTCTGCCCCTGGCGCGGCGGCATGAGGCGGCGGACGATGTCGCCGGCGGTGTCGAGGGAGAGAGGGGAAGGGTGGGGCAGCCCGAGGCGCTCGCACCAGTTGAGGATGGCGGAGCGGAGCGCGACGTTGGGGATGAGCACGAGGGGAGACGACGGGAGGCCGGCAACGGCGGGCGGGTAGAAGGCGAGCGCGGCGCAGGCCTGGATGCAGGCACGCTCGATGGTCTGGCCCGGTGGGACGATGACGGGGTCGGCCATGAGCGTGCCGGAGATAGGGCAGAGGAACTCCGCCGGCGGGTCCACCGTGGTTGTGAACGACGAGGACGGTGACGAAGACGCGGAGGACGCCGGTGAGGAGGCCGTGAATGGCCTCCACCGCAGCCGGGCGGTGCCCATGGACTCGGCCGTGTTGGTGCTTTTCCTTGTGACGACCAGACGATACGTTGGCTTTTAGGGATGGCTAGCGACTGCTCAAGTTGTCGCTCGCCGTCCCTTCTACCGGAGAGACGTTATTGGTGTTGACCGGTGATTTTTAAACCGGAAATTTTATTTACATCTCATATGAGGCTTTCCAAGCAAGGCCTAAGACATTCAACCAACCAAAACATACCTTCCGACAGAAATCCAAAACATTCACTAGAATTCATGCACAAAAAAAACTTTGAAAAAACACTAAGATATATTTAACCCAATTCCTTGGAAGCTATAAAAATGTGACATCCAAGTGCCTGCCTCCTAGGGTTGACCGTCTTCCTCCTCCCGGACGGGCCGATGGCGTCCAACCCAGATTGCCACCCAAGCTTTGCCGGACTGCCATTGCTCCACACAGACGCCCATCCGTGGCTTGTGCACGCCTCCCTTCTTCCCTGGTCTGGCCAACACAGGTACTGCCTGCCCCCTACAGATGCCCCTCCATGACGGACACCATGCCTAACAAGTGCTCGGTCAAATGTCATAGACATTTTTTTTATTACTTTTTTTCTTACTCTGAAGCAAACACGATGGATTCGGACACAGAGTTCTTCTACACCAAGTCCATGGATTTGTCCTCAACAGACGAGGACGATTATGAGGATGAAATGGCGATGATGCAATCAATTATTGAAGACGCAGAACATGCAGAGGAGCATGTTCTTAGTTTCAAGGGATCAACCAAGGGATATCAAGTGTTGAATCTGAACAAGACACTAGGGCATGCTGATGGAAAACTACTTTGTTCCCAATGCAGTATTCAACCATATTTCCACAATCGATTCCGGATGTGGCGAACTGTGTTCGATCACCTCTACAATGTTGTTCGGGCATTAATGACTATTTCATGTTGAAGAAGTGTGTTATTGGAACCATTGGATTCTCTAGTTACCAGAATTGCATTGCGATCTTCGTCAAGACCATTTCTGAACAAATGGGTGAGAAAAGATCTCACTTTGCCGAATGACAAGAAGGATGTAGAAAGAATGTCGAGAGGGCATTTTGAGAGTTCCAAGCCTGTATTGTGGTTGTTTGAGGACCTGCAAAACTATAAGATGGAGAGACGTTGTGAGAGGTGATGGCAGCTTGTGTGGTCCTATACAACATGATTGTGGAGGATGAGGATGAGAGAGTTCGCCATAGTCTCGAATTTGAGCACACGGGTGATCCTATCCAACTTCCAAAGCAGAATCCGATAACATTTGAGGATTTATCCAAATGCATCAAAAGATTCACCATCGAGGAACTCATCAGCAACTTCAGAATAATCTGATTGAGAAACTATGGGTGTTTCAAGAGGTGAACTAAAAAGTGTCAAAATAAGTTGAATTCAAATTTGAATTATTTATTGCAGAACTTCTTGTTTGAATTTTTATATTTATATTTAGATTATTGTTGCATTGGAATATTTGCGCAACATGATTATGGATGAAGGATGCTATTTATTTTTAATTATTTTGAGTACTCCGGATATAGAAGAAAAAAAGGTGCAGACATTTGGTGCATAGGGTTGGATGACCGCCGCCTAAACTTTCCCACACACACGTCCGGACGTGCCCGCGAACATTTGATATGTCCATTTTGAAGAATCGCGTTTCTTTATTCTAATAACTGCAATGTGGGCTTGTGGGAATTCGGACGTCCGGACTGGTCCATGAACTTTTGATGTACGGTGTTGGTGGGTAGTGTCCGGAGCACGCGATCTGGACGTTTAGGGCATGTTCGGGTCTGCCCCGCTCACTAAAATTCAGCTCTGCTATAGAAAAATGCAAGCCAAACGAGGTAGCTCCATAATGTCCCGCTTCGTAAAATAAACTAGGATCTAAGATACAACTCTCCATTCTCGGTGAAACTCTTCGGGGGGCGCTCCAAAAACTAGTTTCAAAGAGTCCTCTGCAGTTGTGCTAAGATTAAGACACTTATTTTAAGACGAAGGGAGTATTATTCTTTTGTTTTAGTGGAAAGCTTTGTGCTTTTAGTGTCTGAAAAGCGTCGTTATTCCAAATACCACTTGGGCCCAAATCGGCACCAGCTGGTTCCTTCCAGCCGTTGATTGCTCAAGTATACTCCATCCGTTCCAAAATAGATGACTCAACTTTGTACTAAAACGAAGGGAGTAATTGTCAAGCAGGTCTATCCTAACACCAGGCACGTCCAGAGACAAAGGGCATCCATCCATCCAAGCTGGTCAATTCATTCTCTTCGATTTTATACCAACTTTACTCATTACATTCTCGGTCCATCTCTTTTTGTGTGTGCACCACTGGAACGGATACAAATCTCTCAAAGTCTCTTTTCTTTTCCTAATAATAATGCAAGATGACGGTTGAAAAGTGTGCAGACATTTCTCGAGACAGGATACATATAATCAGATGGCCCGTTGCCTTGCCAAGGCAACGCAATGATAGAGCAAAGCAATACAAGAATTTCAGACAAGCCTAGCGCATACAATCAGTGGGCCTCATTGAGCTAGTACCACATAATTTATGAGTGCCCAAAATGTGGGCATCGAATTGAACTCTGGTCATGCTCAGGTTGTCAAGCGTCAAGGTCCACCACTTTTCTTGTTAGTAACTTCCCTTGTAATGGAGGCATCATAGCCAGCGACTCGCCAGCTGCAGCGGGATGACTGGATGAGTGGCGTAATTTGCGCTGCACATAGCTGGAGTTATCTGAAGAACCGGAGCTCTGAGCGGCTCTTGTTAAGTTCGGACAATAATTTGCATCCATGAATTGTTCGATCAGGAGTAAATTGCATAAAACCACCACTTTGAGGCTAGGTTTGCGAAAAACACTAGGATACAGATTCGCTGCAGAAAGCATCCCGTCTAGCGTAATTGTTTTGCAAAAACCACTGATCGGCGGATTTTTTTTTTCGAGGGTACGCAAATTGCATACCATAGCTTTATAGAAGGAGAGAAAAAAGTACATGACATCTACCACTCGCTGCGAACAACGAGCGTAGCACAACACCACCTCCTACTATCTCAGGACAGCCACACACGACAACACAACTAGAACACGGAAAAGCCTGCCCAGAACCGAAACACCTCGCCGCGTCTTGATTGACACAGAACACCTTCGAAGAATAGCAACTCCAGCTTCCTTTGGATTCATCCGCGACGACCATACATAGCGCCGGAGGAGAGCGGTCAGGGCCACGACGAGCACCGGAGTAGCGCCAACAGAAAACTCAGTCTCCACGCACGATGCTCCCAACAGAGAAACGACGTCGCAGACGCCGCCATCATGCCGCTCCAGAGGACCAAGGCTTTCGCCCGGAGACAACTGCCAACACCAAGCACGAGGGAGATTGCGACACACTCGACGTCGCCTCCAGAGAGGGGAATGACACCCGCGGGTGCCATCGACGCCGACCGGCCAAAACCGGACAGGATTTTCATCCGTAATGTTGCACATCTCCACTCCGACGAGGTACCGGGCAGCATCGTTCATGAAGCCTCGCACCGCCATCACCGCAGCAAATCCGCCGAAGCCGCGTAGCCGTGGTCCAACACCACCCGCACTGCCGAGAGAGCGCGAACCAGACCTCCACCAACATCGCCGTCGAGAAGCAACCACCTCCTCCAAGCGGAGCAAAAGCCGGATCCGCTCCATCGGCCTTCATCGACACCGAGAGACTGCCGCTAGATTGGATCTCGCCCGCCCCTCCAACCTCACTCCGGCGCCATCTCCACCGGGGCATCGCCGCGATCCCCTCACACGGAGGCAGCCGGACGCCCGCTGCGCGCCAGGACACCTTCCTGGCAGGGCCATCTCGGCGCCGCCGCCTCCATGGTTGATCCAACGCCGCCGCCACCGCCGTTGCTAGCGCTCCACCTGCCGCCACCTACCGGAGGTGCTCCTCGCCATGATCCGGCGAACGCCCTCGCCTTGCCCTTCGCTGTGCCTCCAACCACACCGCGAGTCCCCGCGCCGTCCGCGAGAAGAAAGTCGTGGTCTTTCCACTGCCGCGCGGCGGAGCCAACCCCACAAGCCCAGATCGAAACGGACCTGGGGCTGACCGCACCTCCATCCACAGCTCCGGCGCCAGCGCATCCGGGGGCATCACTGCACGCCCACCGCATGGAGATGGCCGACCGCTCGTTGCCCGCCAGGATCTCCTTCCTGGCAGGGCCTTCTCGGCGCCGCCACCTTCCTGGCAGAGCGCTCGCGCCGCCGCCGCCCACCAGCGCCAGCGCGCCGCTGCCTTCTTCCTCCTCCTCCGCACAGCAGCTTCCTGACCCGGTTCCTTCGCACCACCGCGCTCTCCGCCGTGCTCTGGCGACCAGCAACAAGGTCACGCCACTGGCCACCCCACCTCCAAGGCTGGCCCCGGGGAAGACCCGCTCCGCGCGAAGGGGCCTGTCGTGGGGGCGTCGCCAGCACCCTCCGCCTTTGGCGGCCGGGCGCGGCCGCCACCGCCTGCGGCGGCAGCGGCCGGGGGAGGAGATCCAGCGGCTTCTGGTTTAGGGATTTGGGGGCCTTCGGAGCCGCACGCGCGTGCGACCCGGGAGGCAGGAGCTTGCTGCTCTACTGATCGGCGGATTTGACTCAGTTAAGTGTGTTTATGATAGTTGGGGCCCGCTTTTCACTGACGTGGCGTAACGTTTTCTCAAAAAGAGCGCTAGATGGGTCAAAAGGCAAGAACACCCCCAACATCCTTTCCCCATACCGCCCAGGCCCTTCCCCCGTCTCCTCGCTCCCGCAGCCGTCCGAGGAGAGGATCACGCACGCTGCCGCAAGTGGTAGCTCGTCGGAGCAGATGAAGCCGGCAAACTGCTGAGGAGGGCGCACCACGGTTCATTTCTTGGACTTGAAGTCGAACACCCACAATGCGTGCCTGCCGCAGCGTTCCTTGAACTCGATAGCGCCGGTCGCCACCACGCACCTGCCGCAGCCGTCACTCGACTCCACATGATGTG